AATAATAACACAGTGCATTCAATAATGGTGGTATTTAACGCCTCAGAATTTGAATAATATTCAGACACACACACACACTCACACGCACACACACACAAAAAAAGGAGTTATCATTGTATTTTTTTACTCTAGTGAATCTTTTGCATGTACTTTTCTTTGAGATTTCACTTGTGTTTGCTTTTTTGTTGTTGCTTGTATAGAATTTACTGACAGAATTATCTAATATGGTCAAGAAAACTGACTTCATTTGGAGAATTATTTAATAATCATGGTGTACTCGACAGTCTTATCGACCAGGTTCTTCAAGTTACGATGCCAGCCTGTTGACTATCCAGAGGTTACACTACATATCGCAAATTGTCAACGCATTCCGTTCCAAAATCTCAGTGGTCGACGGGTTCACCTTGTAACTTGAGGGTCCCGATTTCGATTCTTAGTTAGGTAATAAGAGTGTACTGCTGAAGAGTCATCAAGCGGGTCGAAACAGCTGCCTAGTAAACCCTGGTTTTCAGTTGTTTGTGAAAACAAAAATTTGAAATCAATCACTTACCTATAAACCGACAATTGAAAGCAAATGTCAAATGTCTGGATGTTCATTGACTTATATATATCCTCTCAACGGGATAGATGATTTTCTGTTTGTCGAAAAGATTGACTAATTGATTAAGTGAATGGTAATCAGAGTAAAATATCACATCACACTGGACTACGTCAGAATCCACTATCAGCCACAGAACGAAACTTTTTCCGAAAATGTTGTGCCAGCTGTTTGGAAGGAAATTAAAATTGTACCTATACCTAAGTCGTCTACTAGAACATGTTTTTAATTTAGACCCATTGCTATTACTTCCCCTTTTCTAAAAGCTATGGAAAAGTTACTCTTAATTAATCTTCATCCTTCACTTAAAGCCTTTAACGATCCTAAACAATTCGCCTGTAAACACTGTAGAAGTACTTTAGATGCAGTTGCAGTCTTGTATCATAACATTGTCTCCAGCTTAGACAAAGGGACTAAATTTGTTCGCTGCATCTTCCTAGATTACACATCTGCTTTCGACTCAGTACCTAGAGACATTTTGTTAAACAAGCTTGCTGAAACTCAAACTGACTGTTGGGTCGTAAAATGGCTGCATTCTTATTTCTCAGGAAGAATGAAGTACACTGTATGTCAGGGAAAGTCGTCCACTTCGTTGCTTACTGAGGCTGGTGTCCATCAAGGCGCTGTCCTTTCTCCTTTTCTGTTTTCTTTCTTCTTGCATGACTTGCCTCACTCCGATGAAATGAACTTTGTTAAGTATGCCGATGATCTAACTTTTTCAATGTCTCTTAACTCCCAGCTTGACTGTACTAAGATGAACAGCTTTCTATCAGGAATTAGCAAATGGTCTTCGTCTAACGGCCTTAAACTTAATCCTTCCAAATGTCAGACTGTTAATTTTAGTTTCCGATGTAAACGAAAGTTAAATGAAGCCGTTGATTCCTATGACCCTTGCAAAATTGATGATAATGATATAGAAACCAAGTCTGAAATTAAGCATCTTGGATTAATTCTCTCTTCTGACCTATCCCGGTCCTCCCATGTCTTAGCGATTTCTAAAATAACATTCGTCTGACTTTTTACATTAAGAAGTTAAGGCACTCAGGCATAACCCAACCACTCCTCTTACAGTTTGTCAACTCGTGTATTTTACCTATTCTTCTTTACTGTTCACCCTTATTCTTTCCTGGATAGCTTAAAAAAGACTATGTCATACTTCGTAGAGCATGCCACCATCACCCACATGTTATGACTTCCGTCAGTTCATATATTAGCTCCACTATCATCCAATTTTATTCGTGACTATTTTTCATCCCACGATATATGAAAGACTCCATCAACCAACACTAATTCCCACTTGAATTATTCCCCTAGCTTTGGATCAGTGATGACATCTGCCTTGTATTTCAAAATAATCAAAAATAAATACCTCCTATGATCTGAACAGACTGGGAGAATCAGCAACTGTTTGCCTAACCTTCCCTAGTAACGTCTTGGCTATCTTTAGTGTTGATTTGTACGCTTCTCCACAGAATGCATGACTTTTACTCTGTCAGCAGCAACTCAGGAGAAGCCATGGAATGAAATTAGCTTCTTTCTCCCCGCAAATGAGTTCGTTCTTGCTTTGTTCAAACTAATAAAATGAATCTGCATAGCTATTACTGTAATACAACTGTAACTGACAAGCATATTATGAAAACTCATTTGAACAGACTTTCCTGAAGACGAGTAATTTGATAAAAACTTTTTTATTCACCTTCAATTCACACTGTGTAAGAGTATAAAAATACTACATGACCATATTCTGCAGTAATATGTTAACATCTTTTAACTGTTGATAATGGTAACAGTATCTTCCTTTAAGTACCACTAACTTAAATATAGTAACTGTTAATATTGATTTGCCACAGGTTAGAGAACCATTGGAAAACCTGGGAATTCATGGCCCATTGAATCGAGTCCCATTAGCTCGCCTTGTAACCGGAGGATCCTAGCTTCGAACCCCAGGAGGTGCGTACTGATGAAGATTTCCAAACTTGGGCAAAACAGCAGTCCAGTACTCCCAGGTTTTCCAGTGGTGGTCTAACTGATATCAACTCATAATCGAACCTGTAACCAATCAAATCCCTGCAAACCAACACTCGATAATATTGATTTGTCACTGGAGAATAACCACTGTTATGGTATTTCTTTCAGTCATTATGGTTATCAGTCAAAAAGATTCATCACCCTGAATTATTGATGTTAGATGGTTGGAGGCGATCAGCAGGAAGCCTTGGATTGACTGATAGAATTCAGTCTGCAGCAAAGAAAGGACTAGACATATTGTATTAGTAACTAGTGTCCAATCAAAGTATCCACTACAGTCCTACAGGAGGTCAATCGCGAGGCCAAATAGCTCAGTGGTAATGTCTCTGACTACAACACTGAGTGATGCTGGTTCGAATCTCAGAAGGGACATGAGTTCCTTCAAGGTGACTGGTGAGTGCCAACTAGCACGAAACCTAGGTCAGGTAGGGCTTCCATCCAATCGCCTCCAACTATCTAATATCAACAATTCAAAGTGCACCGTGATGGTGAGCTACCTAGAATGGTGGCCACATTGCAAAGCTGACTGATAGAATTCAGTCTGCACCAAACAAAAGACTAGACACATCACACACTAGTTACTAGTGTCCAATGAAAGATTCATCACAATGCACTTTTCAAATTGTTGTTAGATGATTACAAGCAACTGGCGGAATGCCCTTCGCCTGGGTTTCCTGCTTGCCAGCTTTTGTCAGCAAAGCGTATTTACAACTTTGAATGAGCTGATACCCTCTCCGACATTCGAATCGGCATCATCCCATGCTTTAGCCAACGACAGTACCACTGAGCTATTCGACTGAATTCGAACCGCTCCGTGGTGGAAATTAATAGTATTTACTTGAACCATTCAATCATGTAATAACTCAGGTGGAAAACAAAATCAACTCTTCCCCACCTCCCACCGAAAACAGCCTAAAAATCTCTATTCTAAGCAGCATATTCAACATGGCTTAAATTAATTCCCTTTATGAATTCAAATTGTTATTATTATTATTCATTCTATAAAATGAATAGACTGAAAGATAAATGATTTATAAACTTGACATTTTACTAAAATTTGAATCATTTATGCTTTGTAAACTTGAAGAGTGAGGTAGATGGGAGGTAGAGGCGATGGAAGGAAGGAAGAAAACAAAAATAGAGAATTTCAATGCAGTTTTCAATATTCAATTGTTATCCTCTTTTTTGTTTATCTGTAGGCATATTTTGGAGGCGCGTAGATAAATTCATGCATGCACACTGACTAGAATTAATATTTAATGTCAAGTGATATAACACTACTACTGTCTGAAAAATATGAATATATATAGGCTAGGCATTTATCAGATGACTACTGTTATTGAATAATATTTTTCCAAAGATCCAGGTGAACTGCTGTTTCACTAGAAGTCATACACTATACAGGGAGATAGGATGAGAGAAAGATGGGTTGTAGTTAGTGAAAGATCGGATAATCCTAAATTTATTGGTTCCTGTTGATTGATCCTACTGGAGTGAAATGTTCAGTCTCCATTGACAGGTCAACTTCTAGTACGGATGTTTCAACGATCTCTGAGGATTATTATTATTATTATTGTTCCCTTGGGTTCCATGTCGAACATAGGGCTTCAACTGCACGTCTCCACTTGCTTCTGTCTTCTGCTGTACTTTCCACCTGCATCCATGTCAATCCATATTGTTTCAACTCTTCTTCACACGATCTCCCCATGTCACCCTTCGACGTCCCACTCGCCGCTTCCCTTTCAGGTTCCACTCGAGCGTTGGCCTGACGCGCGACGTCACCCAGCGGCCTCCTCAGTGAGTGTCCAATCTATCTCCACTTTCTCCTGCATATTTGTTGGGCGATTGGTTCTTGTTTTGTTTGTTCCCATAGTTTCTTGTTGGTGATTCTTTTCGGCCACTTGATCTTCAGTATAGAGCGAAGACAGTTGTTGTTGATAAAGGTCTGCAACAGGCTGTTGGAAATATTCTTTGTGACCCGCCAAGTTTCTGATCCGTATAGAAGAACTGACTGACTTGACGTTTGTATTGAAAATCCGAATCATTTTGTTGTTGATGCAGGCTGAGTGACGAAGATTTCCAGATTGGTTTCAGGTTGATGAATGTGTTTCTCGCCTTCCCGATTCTCGATTTGACATCCTCGTCCGTTCCTGTCTCCTGTAGTTGAGACAATGCTCCCTAGATAAGTGAATGAAGTGACCTCTTTCAAATCCCTCCCGTTGATGGTGATTGGCGCTGGATGTTGCGGCTACTGTTGTTGTTGTTGGTTGGTTGGTTATTTTCATAACCATAAGGATGAATATTTCATAAGGATGATATGAATATACTACTATTTATATTATAATTATTTTCGTTTTTGATTTTATATTTTTAGAATGAAGAACCTAGTCTTTCAGATATCTATGAAACACCCTACGCTTCTGTAACAATAAACGATGAACCAGTGAATGAACAATACACGTCTAATAATATACCAAGTAATCCTCCTGCATCAATTTCATGCATGAATAGACCTGGAGAGTTTATAAATTTACAGTCAAAACCTACTAATTGGTCTTTGGATAATAGAAACTCTTCAATTCCAGCTGATTCTCAGATGCCTTCATCTGCGGTGAATGTTAACAATGTATCTGGTTCACAGATACCTGGTGTGCATCAACATCAGGCTAAACATCTTGATCCATATTTATACTCAATCGGTTATTTAGATTATATTACTAATAATCCTCTTATCTATCCTCATCAAATGTGTCCTTCTAAACAGTATCATCAGAATATTACTTCATCTACTGGTTTACCTCAATCTGGACAAATTTATCCAATGGAAAATTGGAATATGATGGAATGGATAGTTAAAAAACGTCCGGATGGAACACGTTATATAACTCGTCGACCAATAAGGTGAGTAATCTTTACTTAATATTATATATTATTATTGTTTCCTTTAATTCCTAGAGGAACATAGGGCTTCAGCTGTGCGTCTCCAGTGCGTTCGGTTCTCTGCTAGAGTCTTCACCTGGCTTTACATGTCACCCTTGGACGACCAACTCGCCGCTTCCCTTTCGGGTTCCACTCGAGCAATGGCTTGTCTAGTGATGTCACTTGATGGATTTTTCCTCAGAGTATGGCCAATCTATCTCCATTTTTTCCTGCCTATTTGTTTCACAATCGGTTCCTGTGTTGGTTCGCTCCCAGAGATCCCTTTGTTGCTGGTCTTTTCTGGCCATCTGATCTTGAGTATTGAGCGAAGACAGCTGTTAATGAAGGTCTGTAGTTTGTTTGAGGTGCTCTTTATGACGCGCTGGCCAAGTCTCTGATCCGTATAGTAGCAGTGACTGACTTCACATTGGAGTTGAAAATCCGGATCTTATTTTTGATGCTTAGTGCTGTTGACCTCCACACAGACTTGAGAGAAATGAAAGCTTGTCTTGCTTTTCCGATTCTTGCTTTGATATCCTCGTCAGTTCCGTCCGCCTGTAGTTGAAACGATGCTTCCCAGGTAGGTAGGTGAAGGAGGTTGTTTCTTTCAGGTTCCTTCCATTTATGCTGATTGTTGTCTGTTGTTGTTGTTGCTGTTGGTGGTGTTGCCAAGGAATCTTCATCACCTCTGTTTTCCCTATGTTCACCTGAAGTCCTATTTTTTGAATGCTTCTTCTGCCAACTTGATGCTTTTCGCTTGCATATCTTCCACTTTGTGGGAAATCAGACATATATCATCAGTGAAGTCCAGATCCTGCGAATATATATATATGTACGTATATATATTATACAGGCTTCATATTAAATACTTGATATGACTGACAAATACAACCTGATAGTTTATGAGTTTCTTGCACTAATGAACTTCTTCACCGGTAAACTTACAAGCCTACTGTCCTAATCACTATTCGCATCGACAGGTACCGCAACACGATACCACTAACACTCCACTCAAAAAAGAAAGTAGTAGACAGACTTTTGAGTAGAGCTTTTACTGTCACGGACTGACAGTAAAAAATTGGCAGTAGTTCCCCATATATATATGCTTAAATGACTTGGATTTAAATGGCCTTCACCTGATAAGCTAAAACAGTTAACAACCAATAGGGTTCAGAGGTCATAGGTGGAGGGAAATACAAACATCACTGTACTGCAAAACAAAATGTAATATTTTGGGGAAAATTGGGTGTATATAACAATATTACATTGACTGGTGAGTAGTGTATAAGAGATATCACGTGTCTGAGCTATTTCAGGTTTGGTTGTAACGTCTCTACCTGCAGCGGTGGAAGACGTAGGGGTATCATTTCTTCATAGGTTGCAGATCCATCTTTTTGACAAGTGACGGTAAGCGCAAAGCTTAAGTTCAGGACTTTCTGTCAACTACCTCTAACTGCTCATTATACTGGATATGAACATGACTCTTTAAGTATAGACACCTTAGCTATTTTTTATCAATAATATTACTTTTGATGTATTGCTACAGTGTAAACGAAGCTTTTGGGAAGAAGAGGCCAAATGTTTCCACACTAGTCACAGTTAGACTCGTATATTGTTGTCCGGCTGTTTTGGTGTATCCTTTATTCAGACATTTGCTTTAAGATATACAAATAAATAGTACCAAGCTTGGAGGTAGAAGTATTAAACTTTCTGTTCACTGATACTCTTAGGTGCTCTTTAAGAATGTGACCCTAAACAAATAGCAGCCCAAAACAAAACTACCTAATGGACGAATTAATGACCTTGGGCGACCAATCAGAAGAATCTGTTTTATACGGGCAGAATTATGGGTGGTGTACGCGAATTAAGTACCAAATTTTATCCAGATCCAGTATTTAAGTACCTATTTAGACCACAGCCTCATTGGAAGGCAGAAAACGTGTAGTCAACTGTCATCTGTGGACTATGTTCATAACCTGGTCAATAATACGAACAACTCCGCTACTTCTTTCGATGGCACCCACACAAATCCCGTAAAAAGTTTCAATAGTCACCTCAAAAAGAGAATCAGAGCCGGGAATGATAAGAAAAGATATACAGTATCCAAACGTATTTATGTACAGAAATCGGTTAAACCTAACTATGAGGACTCGTATGAGAAATTAGCAGGTTTTCTTGAGACATATACAGGGAAGTTATATTATGTGGCCGCTTTTTCACGTCACATTACATATGTATAGACGCCTTTTTCAAATTACTCACTTCTGCTTCGGACGCATTTGATTACTCGATTGGGGTTTGTCAAGGTCTTTACTGGGTAGTTTTGTTTTGGGCTGCTATATTTTAGAGTCACCGACATAAACTGGAAATTCTGTCGCATAACTTGTAGCAGAACTTAGTTTATGTTTGGGTATAAAACCACTTTTCCTCATCATCCATATACATGATTATTTCTTGAGACAAAATCAATAAATTGTCTTGTATTACCGACGAAATTAATCTGACTTATTAATGTTATTAAGTATTTATTTCACGTTGGTAATCTTATCTCCTCTTTCAAACTAACAGCTGTATATCTCCCTTTGATTCTTTTAGTTAACCATCTCATTAAGACTTGTTCAAATTGAACTGAATAGAATCAATGATGAATTAGATGTCGTTTTCTTCCTGTGGTTGGAATATTAATAGGTAGACCTTGTTTTATTAATTTATCAGAACCATCGATCTACTTGAATCATTTAGTCATCTAATTTATCGCCCACATTGTCTTACTCGTCCATTTACCTCCCTGAATGACAATCTATAATCAGACATATTTTTAAACAGCTTTCAACCTACTTCTGTGCACTTTTTTTAAGACAGAGTAAATGAAGTCGGACGATATTTCTTCAACTACTGCTGGTTATTATTATTATTATTTGACCTGAAGATTTTATACATGAATCAAAAGGAAGACTTCCCACCATGCGGAGTGAAATTATCATTCAAATATTGGTTTGTAGGGATTTGGTTGATTGGTTACAGGATTTTATCATGAGCTGACATTGGTTAGAGAACCATTGGAAAACCTGGGAGTACTGGACAGCCGTTTCGTCCTAGTTTGAGACTCTTCGGTAGTACGCACTCACCGCCACGGTTCGAACCCAGGACCTTCTGGTTACAAGGCTAGCGAGCTCGCATACCATTAAGCCACTGGGACCCGATCCAATGGCCACCCCATGAATTCTAACTTCTACCAATTCACGATATAGCGCAACCGCTAGCCAATGTTTTCGGCGAGTATTTGTCCTCACACCCAACCTGCTGCACGCTACTGGTCACGACTTCCCACTGGAACTACCTGCCTGAATAGGGCCGGTCGCCAGTGAGCATCTCATTGATATTCAAGTGTTGGTTTGTAGGGATTTGATTGATTGGTTACAGTATTTCATCATGAGCTGACATTACCATTCTTAAATGTACTAGTCTTAAAGCTGTGGTCATGGAAACGTTTTACTGCTTACTAACCTGCAGTCTGTAAGCTTCGGGAAACGTTTATATTCGAAACTAGGATGCATAAAATCAGTTTGTTTAGAGAGATTATGAAAGCCACATCATGGGTGGAGAAGTGTTCCTCTTAGTTTAAATAACTTTTCAACTCTTCAAACTACGGTCACTAGTTACAGTGGAACACACAAAACTTTACACTTCTATAAGAAGATACTACCTTATCTCCTGGATATAAATGTATATATATGAATTTTCAAAACAGCACTTTAAAATGTAAATATCCATCTCATTCTGCTTACTCTCAAAGAATACTCAACATCTGATGCTATAATGTTCCACAAATTCAAGGATTTACAAGGAGAAACTAATAAGGTGATAGAAAGGGAAGGTAGAGAAGACAGAAGTGATCGTGATATACCAATAAAAACAACAAACACCAATCACTGTTACTGAAGTAAATCTAAAGGGATTCACTTCTTTCAGTTACCTAGACAGCACCATTTCAACTGTAGACTGGAGGGGCAGATTAGGATCTCAAAACTGTCCAGTACTGGCGTTCATTAATCTAAAGTAGGTACGAAGATCTACAGCACTCAGCATAACGAACAACATTCAAACTTTGCTGAACAATAATGCAAAGTCAGTGCTCCTTTATGCTTCAGACACTTGCCACTCACCCTTTCAAAAGTACCTCCAGTTAGCTACTGTGGATTCTCATCAACACCCGGCTTCGCTCATTACTGAATGTCAAATGACTGTCCGTAAAGGATACACAAGAAAGTATCCTGTCAGACAGCATTAACTAACAAGAAAGAACCTATTCAACTAAGGAGACATTTAAGTGACATCATACGCTAGGCTGCCAAATGGAACTTTGATAGGAAATGACAGGTTGGATATCCGATTGGCAGAAGGAACTGAAAGATGGCGGGCATTCAGAGAAACGGTTGGAAATGACAAGAAAGAACCAAGTGGAATAAAGATGTGTAGCTGAAACCCACTGTTCAACTTGGAACACAAAGGATGAACAATAATAATAATTATTATTGCTGAAATAGATAACATGATTCAAATTTGCCTTCGTTCAGACTGTATTGATGCGAAAGATAATGGGACAAGCCACTAGAGATTAAATTATCTTCTCTGTATTTCTTCTGACTTAATTTTTCTTACTGTGTCTGTACCAGCCACGAGACAATGGACTGTAGTCTGCACAGTCTTATATATATTCAATCCACTGACCATAGAAATACTGAATTTGTTTACAATTCCAACCTCAATCACCTCTACCATTAAATATGGTAAACAGTTCATTCATTACTACCTGATAATTAGGCCAAACAAACGGTAAACTGACCAACCAACTGACTAATTAACCAATTATCCCATTATTATTATTATTTACACAAATGAATAGTATTCAATAAGGAAGCCTTATGATGATGAACAGGTTGGTTAGTCATAGTCTTGTTTTATTTTGTTTTGTTTTTCTT